TATTTTTACATGTGCTAGAAATGGATGTTGCAACTGCTAATGATCTGTAATTTCACACAGATCAAACTAGACCAACACGGCCCTGCGCTATAAACCATGATGTACGGAGTGGCAGGAGTACGTTCCCAGCAGTTTCATTCTCCCAGGGAGAAAACCTCAATATTTTAATTTAATCCCCAGAGCAGTCATTTAGCCGCGCCGTAATCCGCAGGTCCAGTGCTTAGTCTGATAATTACACTTATTGGACACCCATAATGATTAGTTTTGGGTTTCACCCAAAGTAGTGCAGGCAGTTTCATGGAGCAGCCATGGCATTTTTGTCGAGTGGAAAACCAATCACGCGTGGTGCCGTCGGGGTCATAAGGGAGAGAAGAAGCAGGCCTGGTTATTACGTTGCACGGCGGCTGCATATTCGTCATGTGAGGATTAACTGCGAGCGGCCTCCGACTTTGTTCGACTTTCGCTTCACAGCATCGAGAAAGTCAGGTGCCGGTGGCACTCCTACTGTGTCAGCATTAACTCACTGTACTTACCATGTTCAGTAACATGGATGAAGGTCAAATGGAAGCATCTGCTTTGAATTAACCCCCCCCGTCCTCCCCTTCTCCCCCTGAGCCCGAACAGAAGCAACCAAATCAAACCAAAGCCAGTGCGCGGCTTAACGTCGGCTATAAATGCATGGATCGAATTATCAAATGGGAAATTCAACACCTCACTCTTCACTTTTTCTGCTTCTCTCATTGACTCTTTTTTTTCCTTTGCAGCGTTTCCAAAGTGGCAGAACAAACTACCAACATTTCCTCCAAATGCAGTGCATCTACCTCCACGACACGGTGCCATGCAAGCGTCACCGCCGAGTCCAGCAGGAAAGTGGCTTCGCAGGAACAGCAGCGGCGGCTGCTTGGCTCAGCTGGTTTAATCTACAGCTGGCTGGGAGGGTGAGCCTTACTGGAAAGTCATCAGTAGTTTTTTGTTTTTTTTTGTCTCCTTCATGTCTGAAACAGGTCAAGGCAGGTCCTCTTCCATGGTTTTTCCTCCCCGTGCTGCTGTTTACGAGCCCCACCTGGCAGATAAGTATTTCACCACTACAACTAGCTTTTCTGCTGTTATCACGTGCACACACGTCTCTCTGTTACTGTTCTGATGAGGCAGCACAGGGCGCACACTGAGACAGGATGGGCTCTTTACCACCTTGTTTTAATTCACGTACACGAGGCCTGTGCGCTACAGCACTGCACAGAAATAATAGAACATGTGCTAAAACAGCACAAGCAGGTCTTTTTGAAAGATCAAAGGCAGTAAATGAGGATTTCAGGAGCATGGGATGAAAAATTTTAAAAAACTTCAAACTGTTCTCAAATTCATTAGGACCAGGGCTTGGATGTGCTCTGTAAAATACATGTAGTAACATAAGATTCTTGATACTTTCACAAAACTTTTGCGATAATTGTCCAGCCAGGCTTCTGTAGCACAGGTAGCTCTGATGCCTTTGTTCTTTTAGGTATCAGTTTAAGGCCAAACAATCAAAAGTATTGGCCACATGACAAAAGAGCTCTCTCAGATGACTAAAGTCATCTAAAGTTACCAAAGATAATTAAAGTATTTTTTTAAAAAGCAAGGTAATAATAAAAAAAAATCATAAAAATCAACACAAAGGAAAGCTTAACGTCTACCTTAAAATGTCTAATTTTTCTTGACCTTTATATGTTGGTGTGTATGCAAGTACACTAGCAAGTTAAAAATGTAGCAATTAAGATGACAATAGGTAAAAAATAACAACTCGTAGTTAGCTTAGTAAAGTTAAAAACTAAGCCAAGCCAAAAAGACAAAAGTAGCTAACAGTTAGCCCCTGAAGAACAAAAGCAACTCAAAAGGCTTATCAAGGAAACAGCTCATACAGTTTAGCAGTTGATCGCATAAACAGAAATTTTGAAAAATAATTCAGTAGCTAAAGAAAAGTTTTGTCAGTTGTAACAAAGGCCTCCTCTTCTCAGCCCTCCCTTTCTAAACACACAAGGGAACTGTGACAGTCCAGACAAACCTGCCACTGCTGCAGGCTGTTGCTCTTCGTTTCTACTGAAATCTTTTATTTCAAAACAAACAAAATCTATCAAAAATTGCTAAAAGCCATTACAGTTGGCTGTGATACAGAAAACCTTTTTCAATGCCATAAATCTAGCTGAATGCTACACACCAGACCTCTCAAAGGTCTGACTATGACTAAATGTTTACTTTAATCACTAACGTGTGAATTTACTTCCCTCCCCGCTGATCATTCAATTTTGCAACTGAATCGAAAACAGACTTCCTTGTTATTTCCAGTTACTAAAAATCATTATACATTGACATCCATCCCAGTGCTTCTGTAACATCCCCCACTGGTTGTCAAAGGCTGCAAGTGACTGATAAAAGAATAAGTCATCAACATGTAAATATTAGATGTGGGTTTGTGCGTTGTGTGCTAAAGAAAATAATTCTGAGATTTCGGTTTCCTAATTGGACGCCAGTGCGGTTCCTCCAGTATTCAGTAAACCCTAATGTTTGTGGACACAACAGAAAAGTCGATGAGGTTTTGGGAAAGCACGGAGCTGCATTTCAACCGAAAGCTAATTAATTAGATAATAATTGACAGATTAACCGTTGTTGTGGATAATAGCTGGTGGCACCGTGATGCTACATTTGTCACCATTTTCAGCATGATCGGGTTGCGGCACCAGAACACAGCCTTCGGTGTCGCTTTTCTGTGGACAAACTATCTGACAAAGTTCATGAAGACATATTAAAACATGTTGGTGTGAATTTGGAGCCTGGTGTCACTGCTGTTGGCCTCAGTGTAAGCGGGAGTTAACCAGGCCGTGACTCTGACTCAGGAGATCATGTTCAAAGTTGAGAAATGACACATTCTTATCTGGCCTGATAGCAAACAGCAACAACAGAAACCGAAACCTACTGCATTTTATTCACCATAAAAGACCATAAAAGTCCTGATGTTTGATTAGCGGGAGAAACATAGCCTACAGCTACAGTATATGGTCCGCAGACAAACAAGGATGATGGTTTTACCATTCACAGACCCAAACATGAGCTACGTCAATATCCAGGACAGGTATCAGTAATCTGTGATTACACTATGAAGCGCATAAAAACAAGAATGAAGGTGTAGCGGCCACATCTACCATAATGTTGGTGGCTTTTCTCAGACTCAAATTTCAAATGTAGCAATTGCTGCCTAGTAACTGCTGACAACCACCCTGATAAAGGGACACGTGATTGTTCTTCTTAGTGGACCACGTGTTTGACAAATGGTTGCCATTTGGAGGCTGGTCACACCTGCTGTCCACTCCTGAAAAACCCACTGTCTGATTGAGGACATCGTCTTCTGACCAATAGTGAAGGTGCATTCCATTTATACTCGTCTATATTTTCCAGGGTCGACCCAGGAGTGTGAACCTATCAGAGGACTCCAGGAAAACCATTTCAACTGTGAGTAAAAACTTACTGCGAACATTACTGTAGACAATAACGTTAGCCTTCTGCCATAATGTTGCATCTACAAGAGTATAAGTAGTATGTAGGTGGTTGTGCTCAGAACAAGCTAGCTTTTGCCATAATGTTGCATCTACTGTTGTCAAGAGTATAAGTAGTATGTGGGTGGTTGTGCTCAGAACAAGCTAGCTTAAGAACCATTTACCTAATGCAGAATAACTTTCTGAACCAGTTGCCAACTCACAAGGCAAAGGATTAGGGTTTGATTCCACCTGGTCAAAACACTTAACCTCAAGGTGCTGTTCATACGCAACGATGGCAAAGCTGAAGACTGTTAGCCCTAAATACCAGTCAAGTTGTGGATAATGGTGAGGGTCGTGTCAGGAAGGGCATCTGGTAGTGGAACTCGTGCCAAATAACATATGCTAATTATCCGCAGTGGTGACCCGTACAGAAGCAAGCAGCAGGATGTGACTTTAATGCTAACTGATACACCAGTGCAATACTGCCGTACTTCTCAGTACTCTTCACACTTTGTCAAACGACCTCTCTGTGTAAATAACCACGATATTCTATTAGTCTCCTTAAAATGAATGCCTTCCCAAAATGTAGGCTGTCAAAGAAGGTGTCATGACATCACCTCTGAATCTCTACAGTCTCTGTATCACATACAGCCCACACACTCTGACTAATGTGTTCACATTCAAGATGGTGAAGTTACACAAGTCGATGGACAGGTCAAAAAGTTCTAAGACGTTAACGCTCAACAAGGTGCCCAGAAGAACCCTCCAACAGCTTCTACAGGTTTGATGTTCAGTTTTTATTTGACTGATTATTTAACCAGTCTATAATGAAAAGCTGTTCCGATATAGCGCCATCTCAAGGAAGAAAAAGAATCTGTGATTAATTCATTTGTAAAAATCACTAGACTCCAGTTGTCTTAGAACTTTTTGACCCGTAACAACTTCATAACATACAAACAATGAACTGAATGACATTGTTTATGATTGTGCTCGTTTTAAAGCTCGGTCATCAAATACCAATGTCATGGAAATATTCTTTTGGAAAACACTGGGTTAGCATTTCCCACGTTTCTGAAAAAAAGAAATCGAATAACTACCGGAGGCGCCGATTAATCGTTTTACATGTAGAATCGAGCCACGCGGCGTTCCAAAAATGTAGGCAGGTAATAAACTGAGACACGGAGCAGACTGGATTTAAATAAGCTCCGTTGAACCACCTGAGGTTTTCGCCGCAGTTCTGATGCTTCCTTTTGGCTACAAATCCAGCAGAGGAGGAGGAGGAGGAGGAGGAGGAGGAGGAAGGAGAGGAACGGAAGGAGAGGAACAGAAGGAGGAGGAGGGTTGAAAAACTTGCCGCAGTTCAGACTTCTGCAGTCCGGACTGGGGAAGCTGCTGTACGAATCCCCCTAAAACCGAGTGACCCGTGTCCCACGTCCACCCCACCCCCCGCCTCCCTGAAACACAGTAAAACAGTCAAAAATAAGTCGTTACCTCAGCGGCTCCACCGCCCAGGAAGAGAAAACACCAGGGTAAATCCACAACTTCCCACGGTCTGACTTCAGGCGGACGTAAGGACTCAACACGGCGAGGACAAGTTCATCCACCAACCTTCAAACAAGTCCGGAGAGTCGCAGGCGACGCAGCGGGACAGCGGCTCAGTAAGCCCGCTGTACTCGGTGCCTTCCTCGCCTGATGTTTCCAGTCCCGGTGCCTTCCGATCAAACCATCACATTCCAGCGCCTTCTTAACAATGAAAAAAGGTGGGTTTTCCTTTTTCTGCTGCCGGAGGACCCACCCCTCGGGATGACTCTACCCGGTCTGACCGCAAAGAGAACGCCCTTCCCGGCTAAGAGGTCCCGCCTCTCTCCCCCCACATCAGTGTGGAGAGTGAGGCCGGTGAGGAGCCGCTGAGACTGGGGATGAATGGCCAGTTCTGAGTCTACGTCTCTCTCTCTCTCTCTCTCTCTCTCTCTCTCTGCTAATCGAAACGTTTCTAATACGAAAAACAAACAAACAGCAACAACGTGACGAGCAAAACAAACGAAAGTATTGCCAGTAATTATACTACAACAACAAAAAAAGAACTATACTACTGCTAATAATAATACAGTAATAATTAATACATCATGTCGATTATTATTACTATTAGTAGTAGTACTACTACTACCAGTAGTAGTAGTAAGTAGTATTCCATCTCCATCTGTTTGTAGACCTCATATCCTCAGTGTTGGGGGGTTCATACTCTCAGTAGTCAATAGTCTACATACCAGTGTATCCCTGGACAAAATCCCTTACTCCCAGTTGTTCTTGGAAGTTGCGCCACCTACAGTATGTCAGGTGGTCAATGTAATCACTGTAGAAATTAAAGTGTAGTGTATAGAGAGTTATTATAGATTATAATACCTAGAAAGGTGATGATTATTTTTGTTTTTATGCTGCCAACGTCATACATGAAACATACAATAAATACAGTATATTCTTTAGGACACATGACTTTTTTTTCTTATTATTCATAATTACATTTAAACTTTAGACCTTACATAGTTGGTAATAAACAGATTTTCATGTGAAACCCCATTTAGATTTACTTTATCACTGGTATTTCATTCAGAACATTGTTAGCTATGTGAAACCCTGGTATTTCATTCAGAACATTGTTAGCCCTGTATGTTAGCCAAAAGGTATTGTTAGCACATTCTCCATTCACTGTTATTCTGGTACCGTAGCTTCACTCAATCAAATTATTTTGAACTGGCTTTTTAAAGTGGTCCTTTCATCAATGCTTATTTCATATCTAAGTATGAATGAATGCAGCCATTTATAAATGTTTTTAATCCCATGTGACCCACATTATCTGTGGGTCATGACCCTGTCTGTGGAAACGACAGTTTTACAAGTGGGTCTTGGCCAAGACGGGCAGTAGCACATTTAAAGGACCAGTGAGTAACATTTAAAATGGTTTATGGACAGAAGTGGAGTACACTGAGGATTAGTACATTTGTACACATTTATACGTGTAATTTCTTTAAACTACAAGTAATGAGTTCTTTTTTTATAGGATAAGTCCTTTGTAAGTAAGATAGTCTAGCACTTACAGGAGTTGCTTTGCTCTTCTGCCACACCTCAAATGCATCATAAAAGTTTTAACATATATTTTCTGTATATGTGTTTGTTGAGACTATATATATATATATGAAAAACAAAATGCCAAGTGAGGTAAACTACTAATACTACCTAAACGATACTAAAAGAAAGTAAAAGTGAAGTGATACTAGAAGTTTAAGTGACTTATTGACTAGATGCAGTGACAAGTGAATGTATTTCTACTACAGTGAAAGTGTTTTGTCAACATTGTCAATTCTTGTGTATCGTTAAACTTTTATAACAGTTGGTGTTCATACTTGGGTCGCCATAAAAATCCTGATAATACTGCACGTGACAACCACCCTCCCAATACCATAGATTAAATCAAATAAAATGTGGTATCAGGTGAAACATTGCACTTGAATTCTGGGTAATCCTGGTCACCATTCAGGACACTTAGACCAGCATATTCTTTTACTTTGTGCTAATTGACAAACGGTATATTTTACTGATTCTTTACGGTTGGTCACACTGTAACTACAGTGTTAGAGCTCAGACTGTTATTACAGTCTGATTACAGCCAGGCAATAAATACCTCACCGTCTGTTAATTATCATTCCATGAAGTAACTGTGGGGATGATTTCCACACGAGGATAAAACACCAGCTTCTGCTTATGATTGACAGACATCGGGCCGAGCAGGTGACACTCAGCTCTTGTAGAAAACAAATAAAAACTGTGCTTTTGTAAAAAACTTCCAACCGTTCACTTGGGAAATGCAGAAATAATCGTAGTTATTTCTTATTGTCGTAATTTATCGTTGAAACACCGCTGCTGTCGTACCGTCAGGACTTTGGTCTGCTATCGAAAACTTTATCTCTCCTGGTCGGTTACTGTTCAAGAATAACAACAGCAGCACATTGTGTTGTTACCATAAAGGAATGTTTATTGGCTCTGGACAAACCTTCAGTGTGATCACAGATGAATTCATCAAAACGTTGTTTGTTTGTAAGGGTGTTTACAGATTTGGCTTTATGGATTTCCCTTTTTTAAGATAAAACTAAGAAAATCATCAACAGAAGTACAATCAATATATTCTTTAGTAATGTTTATGGATTTGTAGTTTATATTTGGTCTGACTGCTAATGTTTTTCAAGACTGTCTTCTGGGACATTTTCAAGTCTCTTGAATTAACAGTAAGTTTTATGGGCAGTGTGATGAGGACTATGGTTGTTTGGATACATTTTTTAGATGATGACATTTTTTTCTTCACATAAAAAAACAGAAATATTTGAAACTGAGGTTCGTGCCTTTAGATCCTGATTCAAGTCCTCTCTAACTTAGCCTGTTTTAGCCTTTTCTCTGCTGCCTTCCTTCGATAACAACTGGGTGTGTTGATAATGTTGCTAGGAAATGCTAAAATCATATTTAGCATTTTAGGATTCCTAGTTGATGTAGACACATTAGCGACTAGGCGATGATCCATTCACATACTCACATACTTTCACGTAAAACTTGTGTTTGGCGTGATAGTTAACTAGTTCGTCACCTAGGGGGCAGCGCTGAGCGCAGAGTTGATATTTCGATTCTGTCAGTTTCTCAGACAGTAACAAATGTGGTGTCAGTAGAGGAGCTCTTTACAATGTCCATGCTCAGAAAGAGCTCCAAACGCAGGCTAGCCAGTTACGTTGTTGTCATTTTTAACTTTACTCTGCAATGTCGCCGCCCCTAGGTTTTCAGTGGTACTGCTCCGTTCCGTGCAACTGGGTTGTCTTCCACCAACTCTTGAAAATTAAAAAAAAAACATCCTGTGCAACTGGGCAGAAATAACTGAGCAGACAACAAACCAAGATCACTGTTGTAACTCCTTTTTAAACAACTATTTAGGGTGTGAACTGAAGTGTATCAGGTTGTACTTTAGTTAAAAACATAAGAAAACAGGTTGGACTGAAGACCTCTGCACATTACTGTCAGTCACTTGTCAGCATGTGCTCGGTGATTTATCATTAATGTCACTGGTTTGTTCTTCTCTGACAGCAAAAACAACATGTAAAAAACATACCAAACTATTAAAGGGAAATCAAATCCTTTCAGAAGCTGCTGCGAGCCACAGCCATCGGCGGGCATGCCCAGACACCTGAACGCCACAGCAGCCCAGCCGAGCGCAGGTGAAGATGTGACTGTGCATCTGTCTGTTTACATATTTCTCCAGCAGCCTCATGGTACCGTGGACGGATATTGTCGTAAAAGACCGTGCCTGGTTTGAATCTTTATTTTCCAGACTCGTTTGTCTGCTCACGTCACTCAAACAACATTCGATCTCTTTAAAAATCACAGCACAACAAATCCATCAGGGCCGGGAGAGACAGTTGGACGATGCTGGCACGCCAAGTGCTGCCATTTTTTTATGAGAGCGTGGATCAGTTGTGCGGACGATGCCGACACGCCATTGCCAAGTGCTGCCATTTTTTATGAGAGCGTGGATCAGTTGTGCTCTCATGCCACTGGAGGGGTTTGGCTCAAGCACAGGCAGGTCTCTGTCATTTGGAGAATTTGCCTTTAATGCATCAAACGCTACTTATGCAAATGCACAACACAGGCTGCAATCAAATGCAGATGCATGAGGTTTCCAGGGAATGTAATCTCCTACTGCGCATAAACTGTGGGAGCACACGGACAAGCTGATTCAGGAAGAGCATGCGTTGGGGGCCGACATCCTTCCTAATCACAAACATCCTTCACCAGCCAGGAACATCAACTTTGTTCCAGTGAGTGTTTGTGAACAAACAGAACGCGTCCCAATCAATTCTAACAGTTTCACTGTTTGCGTTTCACACTGTAAGGCTTTTATCTCATCCCCAGAGGCTGAAACAGCGCTAATCTCCAAAATAATCCAGTCACCAGATCGCCGAAAAATACAGGCAGCCAATAGTTCAGAGTGCAAGGATCAGGTCAAAGGTCACCGGCCTATAACAATCAGACTACATAACAAGCAGAGTAGGAGGATTGGAGCCATTTACTGCTATATCCTTTTACTTTTTAACCATGATTATAACTGTGCTCTGAGGCCCAGTTATGACCAGTGGTTATACAGATATAAACCAAGGTGGATCAAAATGTGGGGCAGCTCGCCATAAAAGGAACAATGCTTTTTATATGGGGCCAGCTTCACTGTCAAAACTTTGTCACTATGGACGGATGTGGTTGGACAGGAACTGAAAAACCTGACACAGCCATGTCAATACGGACCTGAGTCCCTGAGAGGAATGTGTGGTTCTGGAGGGAAATGAGGGCTTTGAGTTGGTCCCTGCACAAGTAAATATGACATGTTAAAGATAAACCTCCAGTAACTATTAATAAGTGACCACCAGTGATCATCAACTGGTGGCTCGCGGGCCGAATCTAGACTCCGGAATTGTTGAATCTGGCCCGTGACTAGATGAAAAAATTATGAGGTACAAAGAGAAAATGGTGCGCACTAGTTTTGTTATAAAATAATAATTATACAAACAAATAAAAAGTAAGTCAAATCCTGTCCCTCCAACAAATATAGTTGTGTTTTAAATTTGAGGGAATGTTCCCGAGTCTTATGATAAGTTTACAGAAGCCTTAGCCTGTCAAGCTCACATGGTCCAGCCTTTCCTCCCTCTCTCTCTCTCTCTCTCTCTCTCTCTCTCTCTCTCTCACTCACTCACTGCAGGGGGACATTCCTCAAACCTCAGCCTCTGGCATGAAGTAAATCTGCCTGAGAGAGACCTACGCTTTGATCTGCCACAAACTCTCTGCCGAGGCAACATGTACTTGAACTCCAACACCGTTCTTTCATTCTCAGCCACATCATTTCCTGCCTTTGTCTTCTGTGGCATGAACATCGTGTCAGGCCGCTGTCTTGGTTTCACATGTAGTTCATGTTGAATGGCATTAGCAAAGTTCTGGGCTCCAGCGT